ACAGCAACATATTTAGAAAGTGCAGAAGGGTAAACAATTGGTGCACAGCCTAGACATACAGTACTATCAGCCTGCACTGCACGACAACAACTCAACAAAGAGTAGCACTTTAACTTTGATGGTTCCCTATCGTGTTTGGAGCTTTTTGAGTTAAACTTGCACACACTGATCATGTATTTGACTATTTGTGGATTGTTAACTGAAGAGCCATTTTCAAATAAGAGTGCAAACACAACTGAATTGTTTGTTTAAACATAGGTAAACTAGACAAAGAAAATGACTGTAATACATCACTATAATTTTGCACTTTAAATTCAAACCTCAGTTTGTTTTTTTACCAGAGAAATGTCAGTGACACCCAAGAACACTACTCAAAAGGTTGCGTGCATGCTCCGAACAATGGTGAAATTATTCCTACGGATACATTTGGGCTGCTCTGAGGAATGTCAGATCCTTATAAACTCAACCACAACTGAAGGCATTCAGAGAAATGGGCAACCTGCTTTTTCCTTCTCGCTCTTATTTACTGTCATTATTGGCACAAACGGTATTCAAGCATCAGTCTTTTGAGTTTGAAAACTGATGCAGTAATGATTACACACAAAAAAAATAAATAGTAGCAAAAAGACAAATACACACATGCACACAAAAGCGGCGGTGAGATCTGACCTCATGTTTTACAATTTTCACTGCTGAATGAAAGCTCACATAAAAAAAGGTTTGGACAAGCTTGTATCAGTTATTTTGAGCAGAAACATGTTTGGATGGTGTGTTTGTGTGTACATGTGCTAAAGAAAGCTTTGTTCATGAGATGAAAGTACAACGTGTGGAAACAAGATGTGCTTCATAGTGCATAGTGTCTGCAGATGTATGTGTTGTCCACAGGTCGTAATGGAGTGTGGGAGGGGGGGGGCTGCTGATTGTGTTTGCCATGTGAACACTTCAGGACATTTTGGTTTACAATTTGGTGGTGTTGTCCTATCGAATATCTAACTGTGACAAAGAGCCACGGAAGAGAAACGGACCTCGCCTTGCTCTCTTTCCATGAATCCACGGCACACTTTGGCTGCGTCCTGGGTGGGTGGACAAAAAGAAAAAAAAAAAAGAGAGAAAAGCAGGTGTTTACTCTTCGGTAAAATGTTAATGTAGTTTTACTCAAGTTTCAGTCATTATTTTTGCTCCATTGTACATAAACTAGAAATACTGCACTTCTCAAGACAAAAGACATGATTTCAGTTTTGTTTTTTTACATTTAAATACAATATTACTGCTCCTATTTTTATACTTTGAGTAGGACCGGGGAATATCACTAAAATAATAATATAATATGAGGCTTAAAGTCATGAAATGTGGTTAAGGTTGTTCCAGATAGTTTAAATTTACTACTACATCACACACACACACACACACACACACACACACATTCAGTGATCATATAAAAATGTTTACAAATTAGCATCATTTAATTTAACTGAGATATTGGCATTTAGTTTTAGGCAAAATAATGAATAACTGATTATGTGATATATGTCCTATTATTGCCCACTGAAGTAGAAATGTGAATGCAGGTCTTCATCTGCAGTATTAATCTACGTCGGTATCTCTACTTTAACCTGAGGATTTAAGTAGTTCTTGTTCCTTTAAATGAGATCGAATGAATCACCACAAGATGTAGAGTTGCCATTTTATCAGTAATGCACGTAGAGCCCTCTTGTGGTAGTTTGACGCGACAATCTAAAATGCTCTAGACAAGAGAATCAATGACTTTGGGACTAAAGGCACTTTTTCTTGTTGTATCAGTCATATTTATGATGCTTTTCCTAAACAGCTTTATTTATGTTATTTATCTGATATTCAATAAACAGACCTAACTTACTTGGTTTGAGGAGTGGTAGTTCCACTGAAACATAACTGGCAGCAAACACTGCTTAAATTCAAACTATCCTCACATTAAGATTTTTGTAGACGTTGATATATTAAATTCTCATTTATCCATATTTCAAAGTTTACTAGTCTTCTTTACAGTCCCCTTGGTTTTATGAACACTATTGGATGTCTGAGAGTGCATTAGCAAGGGTTTATTGATTGAATCAAGACACTCGGCAGAAACGGCCACTCCCTAATTCCAGTTTAATACCATGACTCATCACAGACATGTGCATAAAGGAAGTTGGCTCGCAATTATATTTCAACATATCCAGAAATTACACAAAATGTTGAAGAATTTACCATAATTCTACTTACCGTTATGAAGGACCCATCTTTGGTAGGTCCATGCTTCACTGGTCCATTCATTCTCCCATCTTTAAAACAAATCAGATAGTTAGAAATCCACAACATGAAAACACATACAGGAATCTGCATAATGAGGTGACGTGCTTACCAAATTCATACAGTTGTCCGTTTACATTGACAAAGGCAATAAAGTGGAAGTTGACCTTGTCAGCTTCTGGCTGTGAAAGTGGAGATACTAGGAATTAATATTAAGAGTTAAAGTACACACTTCTTTCAGACAGACAGGGTTTTATTTCAATGACAGATGTTTAAACATCATTTAACTGATCCCCCGGTTATCATGAGAGAGAAGGAACGTGGATATGGACGGAGAGGTGAAAGTAAAACATGAACTTTTATCCAGTAATTATTCAATATAATTAAATTTAATTCTCAGGTTTATCAGTTAAACGTATGAAGATAAACTGCAGACTTGAGTCTCCTCAACAGGAACGAGGCTGACTCATTAATGAGCTCTAAGCAGGTTGAACACATATTGAGTAAACGTGCGTCTTATGCTCATGAAAGGGGTAAAAGATGTTAACAATTAGTTGTTGATATTGCGGTTAAGCATCTTACCCTACACTGGCCCTGCGATGCAACATCATTGTGAGCATCACGGATTGCCTGGAGAAGACAAAGGCAGAACATGTCAGTTTAATACTGAAACTGAAACAGATCGTTCTACAAAATACAAACTAATCAGAAGTGTAACTTAGAGGAAAAAGCACAGGCTTAATGTTTAAAAGACTGAGTTACACATTGTTAAAAGTACATTCTGTAATAACGTTACAGACATTTTTTAAAGCATCAATGGACAAATATTTAGCAGTGTCTGGCGCCCTCAAGTGGGTAAAAAAAAAAATACATTACGCAATACTAACAGATATTCTAGAAATGACAAGCCTTAGGTTATCAGTTTTTTTAAATGCACAGTATTTCTTGTATTAGTCATTGAATCTGAAGTATGAGTTATTCATTATTATAATATAAGACAGTAACCATATACACAAACAAAAGGAAAGAAAAGAATTATGAAAGATGTCTCATTAACTGTCTCTGATCATTAACGTATCAGCAATAAACCCTCAGACAACATAAAAGATACTTAAACCTCCCAATTAATGTAACAGCTTAATCTCCATTCTTTGAAATTCAGTTTACAGAAAAAAAAACATCCAAAAGCTTCAACAGTGTGAATGTTTATCTTACCTGGTTCTTCTCCAGATGTTTGGCACGTTCATCAGCAGACATGTTTGCAGTGTCATCAAGAAACTTCTTCAGGACAGAGCCACTAGCTGAAACGACCAAAAGCAGCATCAAGTTAAAAGAAATAAAATGTGCTATTCATTCACATTAAAAAAGGACCACAAATGATCAATAATGACAAAGCCATCCATTTGTAAAATGCACTGAATTCAACAATCACTTTTTTAAGAAATAAACTGGAAAACTAACCCTTTTGTGTTTTTACTGCTGACTCATTGAGACTGACCAACAGAATTCAGTATGTATTGTTTTGTACTGACTGTACTGGAACCAGTGCGTATCTGATCTGGACTCACCAAATGTCGGCTTGCTTTTGTTGTTGGCCACAGAATGCAGCAGGGCGATGGTGCCACAGGAATTGCTTGCCGTCTGCTTCAGGAAATAAACCTCAGAGTCTCCTGCAACCTTGTCTGCCTGCTGCTGTCTGAAAGACTCGTGCTGACACACAGACAGAGACACAGACAGAGATCATGGTCATGGTTATCTGCTCATGAGAACAGCGCAGCCAAATGTGCCACTTGAAATGTGCACATGGATTAATGTCACTATTGGAAACATCAGTCATCAGACGTGTGTGGTCTGTCCTCCTTCCAGGTCTCTTTGTTTGAGAGGTCAGTCGCTCAGGTTCTACCTATCTGGTGACACCTGAAGCTGCTCAACGTCTTCCTGGATCCACACCATTTACTTAAGTTTTAAAATATGCATTTATGCCAAAAAAAAAAAAAAAAAAAAAAAAAAAAAAACTGTATATATTGTGATTTTCTTTAAATCCACACACACACACACACACACACACACACACACACACACTCTATTGCTTGTCTGTCTGTCCTGGGAGACGGATACCTCTTCTGTTGCTCTTCCTGAGGTTTCTAGGAAACTGTGACGGGCATTTGATAATTTGATTTATTAAAAAAAAAAAAAAAACGGACAACTCAATTATAAGTTGCAGGCAGGCCTAGTGTATTTTGGCTGTTGGCCATGGGGATGTGGTCTGGCTCCCAGGGTCACAATACAAGAAAACCTTATCTGAGAATGATACCAGTCTGTAGTTTAATGTCTAAGCTTAACAGGATCATTTTTTAAAAAAAGCCTCTGCTATTTCATCTCCTCCTTACCACCCCGCTCTCACCATATTCAACCCATCACATAAGACTACAGCTCTTTCTTCCTCTGCATCCGTGCCCTCCCTGCACCTCAGTCTCACCCCACCCCAGACAGCCTGTATCACCCCACCCTCGGCCTTCCCATCCAGGAAGTAGTCTCTCCACCACCACCACCACCATTATTATTACCTGTTGTGTCAGTGGGAAGAGCAGCATCAAGGCACAGCATGGTTTCGGGACGGCGGCGAGCTGCTCATCCTCCAGCCCCACCACATCAACAAAGCGCCAGCTTTCACCCACGCCAAGCGATTTCATCAGCTGGAAACACACAACCAGGAAGATATATAACAAAAACACGATGAATTAAAATGGGGACATTAGAGGGTTTCATGGGGCGACATGTAGAAATGACCCCCACTGGTGGTGTTCAAAGATGCTGCGTTGTGTTGGTCCAGTCTGACCACACCCTTAAGCCCAGACACTGGGGACAGCGCTGGGGAGGATGCTGAGCAGATAAACGATTCTCCTGCTTGTTGTCGCAGCTCCTTTTGATATTTCCAGGTACTTTATTACCTTAAAATGCCACTGTAAGATAAAACGCTGGAGCCGTATTTGGTCGGCCTGGTGGCGGTTTTAACGGTCGCCTCAGCAACCGCTCTCCTACCTAGCTAACGTTAGCTGAGTGTAAAAAAAAAACTTACCTGACAGTTGAAGCAAACAGCGAATCAATATGTCGCCATTGCTCACCGTCTAATGTTTGCTAACTCACCATGTTCAGCATCTGAAACGACATAAACAGAGACGACAGGTGAGTTTGTTGCCCGGTTTTTGTTCGGCGTTAGTTCAGTAAAGTTAAGAAGACAGTTATCCCCCCCCCACCCACCACCCACCTCGGGGTTGATCTCCATCGGGGTCCACTCCATTTTGGCGAGGTTTTGGTGTGACTCCGCAGGTTTAACGTTAGCTTGTGTCTCCGTGGTCTGACGGTTCCTGCCGCTGTCAGTTGGAGGTACCGGAGGAGCGTACCCGCTATTTATGCTGCCGGTCATACCACTTACCGGCAGACAGGGGGGGTGGGCTCAGATCAAATGACCCGGGGTGTACATGTTTAACCGGCCTCCCGAGAAATATCACAATGATTTAGACGCCAGATTTAACTTGCTGCACGTTTCGATTCAGCAGTGACACCATAGAAAGAGATCTATCATCTTTTTCAGATACAATAAAAGTTAAATCACACCGCTGAATGTGAGATGACTCGGGTCAAATCGCGTTCTTTCCAGAAAGAGAAGTGTGACGTAGTAATAATTCCCTATCAACAATGGTCTCTTAACAAGTATTTTCTTATAATATTTTATTGCTAACTGCAATGTATTTGTCAGTTAGACCAATAATGAGACCTATTTCTCTTGAATTCTGGCCTAAAGGTCTGTTTATTCTATATATATATATATTCTGTCTTTATAACAATAAATGGAAACTCTACTGTGATTTTTTTTTTCTGCAGTTCATTAGCCCAATGTGGCTGCATGCACCTGTGAGTGTGATATAAAAATACATTGGTAACACAGGGTATTGATGTCTATGTCTTCTATAACATCCAATATACAGAAAATAATGTATGTTGTGATATAAGGCTCCTGCACTTCCAACATGGAGGACAAACAGGTATATTCTGTGAAATGCATCTGGACTTAGTGTGTTAGGCCTATGTATAATGATAGCATTTATGTGCAGAAATGTCCTAGAATCTTTGGCTTTTACCATAAAACAATTATAAGTTCAATAATCAAAGAGGAAATTACTATTCAGTTCAACTCTGCAACAATCCCGATGATGCCAACTATCTTTAAAGCTATGTGTTACATCCTTGTAGATTAAGATTTCAGCTTTTACCAGTGTTGCAGTCGCCCATCCAGATCTGTGGTGTATAGGATGTAAAGTACAAGTACAAGAATAAGGCAGCACATGATGGTTTACTGGAACTGAGGTGCAACAGACTGCAGTTGACAAAGCTGACTATAGTCCAGGGGGGCGCTATTGTACCAGTAAAGAGCAGAGGTCTCCAAAGTGGGAGATAGGCCTCCTCAGGTGTGCTCCAAACAGTTTCAGGGGAGGCTCAGTGAATGGAAGTGAAAAAATATGACATTAGTTAAAGGAAATGGAATAGCCTAAATGTGTGTGATTTGGTTAAAGAGACCAAATCACTGATACAGTAGTTTGGGGTATTTGTTGATGTTTTTCCCAGTTACCCAGAGTCAGAAACTAATAGATTAATACATATCTTTCTTATGCAATTGGTGTAGTCTGAAGATATGTCAGTCAGCAATATCAGACTATCTTGGCGAAATTGTGAGTGATCAAATAACATGATCATGATCCCATAGGCATCCGATAATTGAGCAAAATAAAGCAAGTAAACTAAAGGGGGTGCAAAGCATTGTCTGAGGGGAGGCCCAAGTGCATTATGTGCAAATGTGCATGACTTTGAGTGACTATTCCCTCAGTTACAGTTAGGTAGTACTCTTGCTGGTTTCTTCCAGAGGGATATTGCTTTAACGTTTCCTGTTTTCCCAGTTTTTGTGCACGTGTTTCTTCATGTAAGCACGTATCTGCGTAACACCTGAATGTTCACGCTGATACATGTCTGTGACAGTGAGAGTAAGAGTGTGTAAATAAAGTGTCCTTTTTTTATATTAGGTTGCGGATATGTGACTCACTACTCTTACTTCCTTCTGGTAGCACTGTCACCAGTGTTGTAGTGGTTCCTGGAGAGGTGGGTATACTCAATTTATACTTAATTTATGGCCCCAAATGTTTTTTATAGCGACCCATCCAGCAAAGGATAAACGCCCTGTGTTTTAAACTGTGATGTTAGACTAAATATTTAATAAAAATGTGCCAGCACTATTTGCATATCATCTCTGAACTTGTGCAGCTTGACTTCAGGCAGTAACATAACAGACATAACTACATATTGTTACATTTTGAGTGATGTATTTCTTATAGTTTACTCCATCCACTGGATAGCTCATGCATTTGCCATCCAAGGAAATAAATTCACTCCTACTGAATGACGGGTTTCAAAGGGATTTAGAGCTCGGTACACCCAATGCTGACCCACCTCTGTATACTCTGCACTACACCAGTGAATGTAACCCATCTGCAACTTCACTAGTATGACTGTAATGTGAGCAGTTATGACTTAAATGAATAAATTGTATAGGTTAACATACAGGTTAACACACATATATAATATATATGTTATTCTTTGTTTTCTTACACCGAGCACTCATCGCATGCATTCCCTGAGAGAGAGGAGCATCTCCACAAGAATCTTTTGAGTTTTTTTACTATCAATTATGTGTATGACATTTTAAATTACTGTTTAAAAAAACAGATGAAACCTTTGAGACCATAACTCCAAGATCTTTCCAAATACACAAGCAGGAGGACGTTACTTTGATCATGTATCCCTGAAGAAAATGGCAGAGAATGAATAAAGCGCAGTGTTAGTGTTTCACTGTAGCTACAACCTGCATGATAATTACTCCTGCAGGGTGGACTTTGGAAATATGTTTTAATCAGAAGTGAAGACAGACGATCACAAAAGCTATCGATTATACATACCTGCAGGGTGAGGTCAGTGTGTGTGTGTGTGCGCGCGTGTGTGCGAGAGAGGGAGATTGCCTGTGGGTTGATGGGTTCATAGGTCAGAGTTATATAGGTAGCTGTTGATATATGTGTCTACATGTCCATCTGTTTGTCTGGGTATTTAAATATTAGTAGTATTTGTGGGTGGTTTAAAAAGGGGACAAACAATATTGAGGCAGTGGTTTGTAGAAAATCCAGAAGAAGACAAGAGAGGACTGTGGATGTCGGAGAACAGAGGACACTGGTGACTTGGGATGCTCATCAGCTCATTGGATATTCAGCTGCATCCTGGAGACCAAATCACCATAGACCCACTACTACGATCAAGATCTTTGCTCTTAAATCTGTTTGACAGTGTGATGATTGTGGTCCTCACAAGATAAGAAAAAAACAAACATTCACGTCTGGACAACAGAACCAATTTCCCTTCACTGGATTTCACTGTATCCTGTCCTAAATATTTAGGAACTAGAGGAATGTAACTTCGACTTTTGACTCCTTTTTCCTGTGCTCGCCGCCATGCCTATCCTGGCACAATTTGGGGAGGTGAATGGTGTTCCTCCTTTACCAGCAGGTTGGGAATGGAGCACGGTGGTCTACGTTTGTCTCTTCGTCTCACTCAGCACGCTGTTAGCTCTGTTTCTCTGGTTATTACTTCAACAATCACAATGCTACCGATACAGACAGTGATGTGACCTACAACTGCAACCTCTGCATCCTCCTTGTGGATGCCTGTGAATGTTTGTGTCTTGTGGACTCTGAATCTGTGTTGTACCATAACATTTGAAATATATTACACTTCTGTGAACGATAACAAATAAGTTTATATCTGGTCTGTATTATGATCTAAACCAGAATACAGTTTTCACCACAACTACCATGTAAATGTCTGAAAATGGCTCAATCTTCACCACCAGATGGAGTCTGCACAGTTGTCATGGCGATGGCTCAGTTGTCCTCACATATTATTTGAAGGCCATGAGATGCAGTTGATAGCTCTGGAGGAAGAAAAAAGGCTCATAATGAGGGGCAATGGTGGCCTAAAGGTCAGATAACCGGGGCTGTAACTGGAGAGTTACCAGTTTGATCCCTGGACCAGCAGCCTAGCATTACTGTCACTGAGACGGGAGAGGGAAAGTCACTTGAATAAATCAATGTTTTTAAAAAAGTGTACCAAGATTTCTTATTGTTTTCCGAGGAAAAGTCAACGTCCACATTCAAAATGTTTTTGTTTATTGCTCTTTCACAATAAAAGAACATCCATCTTCATTTAAAAGGTCCGCTTTGTGAGCTTCTTTCATCAGAATACACTCATATGTGTGTTTAACAGTATAACCCACATTCTCTCTCTCTCTCTCCCTCTCTCTCTCCTTATCTCTCTTTCTCTCTGTCTGTGTAAAGTCTTTGTTAGAATTGATCTGTAGCTCTCAGTTCAGTTTACTTGGTGAGTTATTAGCATGGCATGAAAATTCCACACATGCCAAAGGCGACAGAATGGATAGCATTCATAGTAGAAACAATACTAATCAAATCAATACATTTCTGAGATAAGGTTCTTCATTCAGTTCATTTTACCCCTGTGGTAAATCAGTCTCCACCTGATGTCCAGTTCTGGTCTGATTATATGGTCAGCTTCTGTTTTCTGAGTATATAAATTACAAGGTATTATTATCGCTATACATTATTGGTAACCATTATTTTGAACTTTTGTTACGTTATTATTTTAGATGAAGTTCAGTTCAACCTTCAGATGTCTTAAGACACTGTTGGCCTTTAGTCACGCACAATAAACCAGTGTTTTATATATATATACATATAATCTTCCTGATACTAAACTTTGGATGTCTCAAAATATCCTGTTTGGTGTCCAGTAACTGTGATTATTCTTTGGTCTTAACAAATGTTACAGCCAAATCTAAAACATGACTAAGCAACGAATCCATTTTCCTTTCAGTGTATAGGCTACATGAATGATTTATTAAACTCTTAATACAATCCGTTCCACGTGTAGCTGTATAACTTCTTTTCACTAAGAGATAGAAAAAGGAGTAGCTGGACATGTAGAGTATGATATTTGTATATTGTCTTTAACTTGTAGGTGTGAGCGCAGTGTAAACAGACCTTTCTGTTATCTCTTGGCTCATCATTAACTCGGTGCTCTGAAGTGACCTTAAAGCTGCTAATCAATATTTTAGTATTAATAATAGATCGAATGACAACGTGTAATGTGAAAGGGCTCAGTCTCAGTGACGAAAGTTGATCGCTCAACTTTGCAGGTCCATTTGTTCAATGGAGTGTTTTAGCGTCTTTCAGCTGATTGTTTTTGTTTTATGGCCCTTTAATCATTAATAAAAGCTTTCTGCTC